CAAAAGTTATAAGATAATACCATTATAAATCTCATTTCAATACTACCTCTAGCTAAAAATTACAAGATCACAAAAGTTTCCTCTCTTCTTCAAGTTTTTCATGTAGATAGTTATACTCTTCTCAGTTCTTAATTCTTCCCTCCCCTAAGTTGTAGTAGCTTCTTGTCGTGTAGCTGATACAAATTTTATTTTGTTTTTGTTACTTGTTAAAATTTTGTCTCAAACCCTCAACCTTCTCATGTTGTCTAATATTTTTCTAAGGATTTTTGGAGGTTATATTTGTCTTTAACATTTTTCCATTCAATGTTTCCATGAAAGATAGCAACTTGTTTCAGAAATATCATACTATAAGGATTTTTTTAATAACTTAGAACCACAAGTTTCGTTTTGTGTGATTAATTATTTTTCTACCCTAGATTATCATTACAAAACTATCTTTGCGAGTAACATAACAAATGTGAAAATTCACAATGTTATACAACACATTAGGAGCTTTAAATTTCTTGGACCAAATGGACTTCATACCCTTTTCTACTGAACAAAGTGGAATAATGTGGGTCCGACACTCTACCAACTTATTAAAGATCTCTCCCAAGAACCTCTCCATAGTTGTTGAAATTAATGAAACCTTCGTCTCTCTCATTCCCAAAGAAGAAAATGTCACAACTTTAAAATAGATGGGGCCTATAAGTGTATGTAATGTCTCATATAAAACACTCATAAAAGTATAAGCCTAAAGGCTTCGAGGTGTCATGGAAGATTTGATCAGCCGAAACCAATGAAATTTTGTGTTTGGCCAATACAACAGTGATAATATCATAATCACTAAGGAAGTAATGCATTCTATGAGCAATAAACATAATGGAAAAGGTTGGATAACTCTAAAAATATACCTAAAAATGCCTATGATAAGCTAAATTGGAGCTTTATTTGTAGTACACTAGAAGATATTGATTTTCTTCTTAGGTTAATCAATTTGATTATAACCTGCATTTTATCCCTAAGAATGTGCATATCTAAAAAAAGCCTTATGATAGGCTAAATTGGAGCTTTATTTGTAGTACACTAGAAAATGTTGATTTCCTTCCTAGGTTCATCAATTTGGTTATGACTTTCATTTCATTCCCAAGAATGCACATACTTTGGAATGGGGAGGTACTTGAAAAGTTCACTCCCTCCCCAGGAATTTGGCAAGGTGATCCTTTATCACTTTACATCTTTGTGCTTTGTATGGAGTGTCTCTTCCACATTATTGAGATTGTAGTAAAGAAAAGACTTTAGGCTCTGATTCAACTCTCAAAAGGTGGACCAAAACAAACCCACGTTGGATTTGTATATGATCTAGTGTTGTCTGTGGAAGCTAACCTTGGTCAAGTAGAAATTATCCAAGCTTGCCTTAAACTATTTTACAACAACTCGGGTTAGAAAGTGAACCAAAGAAAAACACAAAATTTCTTCTCCAAGAATACTTCTTGGAATGTGAGGAAACAATTCAGTGAAGAATTTGGCTTTCAAATAAGACATGACATAGGGAAATACCTACGGGTACAACTACATCATTAAAGAGTAAATAGTCACATTTTTAGTAACATCTTGAATAAGGCAGATCAACATATATGAGTAGATGGAAATTGAAGAAGTTACCAATGGCTAGTTGAGTCACTTTAGCCAAGTCTATCTTAAATGCATTACCAACATATACTATGCAAACAACTCTATTCTATGCATCCTCTACAAAAAATTAGATAAGTTTATCAGAAACTTCACTTGGCGAGGGGATGCTCTTATTAGGAAAATTCATATGATACCTTGGCAGGATATTTACAAGCCGAAGAAACATGGGGGACTAGACATCTATTTGACTCACAATACTAATATTGTTTTCCTCATGAAGCCATTTGAACATGTGCAATCACAAAGACTCCCTCTAGGTTCATGTAGTCCATTCCAAATACCACTACAGAGATGATACACTTATCAAAGTATCCAAACTATGATGCTCTTCCAATTTTTGGATAGCCATTTTCCATGCTTGGCCTTTCTACCTCCCAAACATAACTTGGAGACTTGGGAATGGTAAAATTATCTACTTTAGGAAAGACCCTTGGTTACATGGATTCCATAATCTCCTTAATCTAGACTTGCAACCTATCCTTAAAGAAGAAATCAACACTTATATCTTTGATCACATGTCCCAATGGAGATTGGAATTAGAGTAAATTTGATAACCTCTTCCTAGATGAAGTGCTTCGTGCAATCTAGGGACATGCAACACCAATATGTGGATCAAACTAGACAAACTAGCTTGTGTTGCACACCTAATGAATTTTTTTTTGTAAAACCAACATGCCTATATCAGACGGTAGATAATGATATAGAAGAAAATGACTTGCAATTTCAACTTCTATTTAAAATTATTTGGCATTAGAAAGGTCTTGAATGCGTCAAAATCCTTTTATGGAGGATATCTCACAATAACTTACTAACTTATATGGCTCAAGTCAAGAGAAAACTTTCATCTAACTCTACTTGGCCTAAACGTAGTTACCCGAAAACATTACATCACACCTTAAGAGACTAGACACAACTTGCCCATGGACAACTTCCTTCAAACTTCTTCAATGAAGACTATAAAACTTGGTTAAGTCTTAACCTAACTCCCAAACTTGAAAGGGATACCTTGTTGTCCCTCACATTTGCCATAACTCTTGATGAATGTTGGATAGTTAGGAAAAAACTTATCTTTAATTTACATATTTTTCTGTTGAGAGTTTAGTGGCCTCTACTTGTAGAAAATGTGTTGAGATCTCTAAAGCATATGAGGAGAATAATTCTAAATCTCTTACTTGGCAAGTTGATTCCTATGGCTCATCCCTTTTTCAACGGTTTCCTCCTCTAGCAAGATCCATCAAACTAAATTGTGATGGTGCTGTCAAAGAAGCAAGTCGCAAAGTAGCTTGTGATGGTGTAATTAGGAATCATATGGATGGGTTTAAGCTTGGTTAATCTTGTTTTCTAAGGAGTTGTTGGGTCATCTAAGCAAAACTTTGGGTGATCCTTTTAGACCTTCGTGTCATAAAGGAAACAACATTTACTAAAGAGATTATCATTAAGTTTGACTCAACTCATGTAGTAAAATTCCTTCATGTAGCAAATGCATTAACAGATTTTAATTTTAATCACCAGGAGGGGTTGCATCTATGTGAGCAACCACCACATAGAATTTCTTTTTCTTTGTTTGTTGATATTTCAATTTTTTTTTCTTTCACAGTTTTTTATTTGGGCTTTTTAGCCCCACTAATTCACAAAAAAAAAACTTATTCATAAGTTATAAAATAAAAGAGTATACATATTGTAACAATATATTACAACTATAATATAAATTTAATTTGAATAAATTATAGTACAAAGTAATTTATATTAAATTTTAATAATAAAATATAATGTATGATAAAATTATTAAATTATATAATAAGTATTATGTATTAAATTTTAATAATAAATTATTACGAGATTTGATGCAGAACATAAATTATTAAATGTAGTAAGTTTAAGTAAACTTATTTCTAGAGTAAATGAATCGCTCCTTA